GTGTCTTTCTAGGCTCCGTTTGAACCCATCAGGGTTTTCACAACATCTTATTTCAGGTGGTAGTTGGTTCCAAAGAGTGCAATATTTTATGGTGAAAAAGTTTGCCCTAATGGATTTTCTGTGGGTAGCCACCTTGACAAGGTAGTCGTGGTTTCGCAGCTGATATGATTTAATATTTTCCCACGTTATGGATGAGTTACTGTAGCAATGTTTCCTAATGACTTTGAAGAGTAGAAATAGGTTGCACTTCACTCTCCTTAACCACAGAGGCTCTAATTTCAGACGTACACACCTGTCAACATATTCCACTTGTTGGTCGAACCCTATTATGCGTTTCGTGAGGAATCTCTGGACACTTTCGATTTTTTTGTCTACAGACCTGAGGTTACTAAATAGGAGAGCACAATATTCAAGTTTGGGACGGATACATGTCCTATATATAGCTAATCTTGCTTCTTGGGTGTAGAAGTTACGCAGTACAAAGCCAGTAAGTCGTTTACAGTCAGATACAACCTTATTTGCATGATCGGAAAAGGATAAATCTGAGTATGTTATCCCGAGATCTGTGACTGTGTTCAGTTTTGAGAGGAGCTTACCGTACATATATAGGCACATTATCGGTTTCCAGCGTCCAAGGTGGGTTATACCGCACTTGTCTGGGTTGAAAGTCAGTTGCCACTTTTCGCTCCAATCGCCTAGATCGTTTAAGTCTTGTTGGATCTTGCTTTCGACGCTCATATCACCGTACCCATAATCATATACTATCTTGATGTAATGATTGTACATATGTTTGTGTTAAATAACTGTGTGGGTTCCAATTATTGTAATTGTTGGTTAATCTTGTTTGTGTCCGGACATTCTACAACTTACAATCGTCAGCCTGAGAAGGGTTGCAGGCGTACTGGTGTAAGTCATGCGATTCTTCAAAGGAATTCCACCAAGACATGATCCGCAAGGTTATTTGTACTGTTTGTGTACATGTGTGGTGTGTCATATCAATTTGTGATTTTGGATTCATTGTGTTTACTTGTTGTTTTCGTATCTTGTTGCTATTGCATAATTTTGTTAAATTCTCGTCGTGATTAATTCTGAAGTTGTTTCGAGTTTTCTACATCCGTGAATGAATTGATTGATGTTAAAGACAGCAGATGGGTCGTATACGCCGGGAAGGCTAGGCTATTGCTGAGAGTGACATGCACACGGAGATAATGATTAGCTGTGGTCCCACACGCCGGGGAGCGAGAGTGTAGACGACTGAGGCTTGCACACGTCACCGTTACTAGAACTGAGGCAGAACGAGTGACAAGCGATTGCAGTGGTAATCGGTAGTCGGCAGATAAGAGGATGTGGGTAGAATATCATGAGGTGCTGCTATGGTCACGATGCCTTCTGGAAGAGTCATTCTGGCAAGTGGCGACTGTGTTGCAAGAGGATGTGTCAAGAGGATACCTTTATCTGGAGGCGCAGGTCGTCGTCGATGTATGAGATTGTGCTGTGGGTATGCTTGTGGTGTGTTGGCTTTCCTGTTTGTTTTCCATTTCAGCTCTGTCCGTGTGACCCAGGTTCTCGCAATGATATCCAAGTCAACGTGTATTGGTCGTGATGGAAAAAAGGGTTGGATCCGTATTTTGCCGGGGAGTGTCAATGGAGTTGAAGATTGAACGATCAATTCTTGGTTGTTTGCTCAAACCCAACTTCCCCATAATTTTCGCGGCTCATTAATCTGCCAGTCATCGTCTCATCGGTCGCTGTTCAGAAAGGACCTAGCAAAAAACTGTCCGAAGTGATATCGTGATTTATTGTTGTAATATACAAATTAAAAGCTCGAGATATTTCTGATTTTTATGAGGGCTTAGATCTTTATCTTGGAAAAGATAATAACGAACGCCTAAACAGATCATGCTTCTACCTTTAAATATATACCATTCGCTCAGCCTATTGTTGAGATGCGACCACGCGGGATCTGCACAGATTTGTGGGGCATCTTATAAACTAACTTGCTGTCCATTGTCTGATCTTTAAATACCACTTCACAATGTCTTATCTCATTCATTTTCCAATAACGTCTTTACTTGATCCTCATTATATTCCATTAAACCTAACATTTTACAGCTCTTTATGACTTATTATATTCCTACTCTCTGAAGGGTACGGTTGTGCACTAAATGCACAAAAAGGTATAAAACAAAAACAACTGGCACAACTGAGGATAAATGTATTAAAACCAAAAGTGGACATCATGATAGTACTAGATATACGTGTAGCATTATACATTGCAAATGAACGTTGTCAGTCTAGGGAGTTTTCTTTATTAATGCATTTATTAATGATACTTGCACTTACCTATTTCATTACAATTTAATGATTCACCTCAGCACTTTTACTTTTCTAAAACAGCTTCCAGTCCCTGGTAAACGTTGTACTTACCTCAATATTGGTTGGTTATCGTATGCCGACAACCACGGGATGGAAACGAAACGAAGTCAGTTTTCCCGCGCAACCTGGAGGACAACTGTACAATTCAATAACTATACGGCCTGGTTCAGACAATGGGTGTAATTATATAAATATCAAATAGATAACTTTTGGAGCACTATTAACTTGTAGATAATTTATGTTTTGACGTTATACCATACTTGATCGTGCCTGTAAAAATGGCATGCATTTTCATGTAAATTTATGTTCATATGGAAATTAAAATTATTATTATTAGAAGAGTAAGACTGGCGAATGGAGATATTGCAACCATTATCAGATAGTCACTTGTAAAGGAAGCAAGTTTAAACTTTAGTCACCAAAATTAGACGACTTTGAGGTCGTCAGAATATAGGAGTGGTTTACTTGAGGTGAAGCACTTGCAAATGCTGCTAGTGTAGACTGTAGATAAAAGTGGCCCTAGGACACTACTCTGCACAACCCCATTTGAGATCTGCCTAGGATGAGACAATACTGACCCGACTTTGGTTATTTTACCCTGTTGTGATTCACGAGATAACTGGGGTTACATTTATAGGTCTTTAATTGCGAAGGTTTGCCTTATCAATAGATTTGCAGTGTGGAGTTATGAAACTAATTTTCCACTCATTAGGGTAAGTGCCAGTGTCCACAGATATTGAGAAGAATTCAAGAAGTAATGGGGGAATATCACACCCACTGTTTTTGAAAATTATTGAAGCAAGGCTATCCGTCCCCGTGCTAGTAGAAGGTCTAAAGCTCTTAACTGCTTGTTCTATCAGCTGATTGGTGAAAACTATGCTCTTGATGGAGGATTTAGTAGGGGGTGCGGTTTCACCAGGGACGAGGGTTTCTAAAGTTTTGATACCATTCACTGAATAGTTCAAGATGGCGACAGGCTCACTGTAGGTTACTTTGTCTTTATTTGGTGTTATTCGCTCTGAAATCCATGAGTTCTGCCTATTACAGCGGGAAATGAGCTGACTTTTGTACTCTTTATGAGTTCGCTTTTTTTCTGTATCTACTGGGGTTTTTCTTTCCCAGAATAAAGTTGTTTTGTCCACGACCAGACCTGCGAATTTCTAGTCAACTGACTAACCAAATGAGACATAATAGATACAGCGTGTATTCAGTCTCCAGAAAATTGGACAGGTTTCACGGTTGAAGGTCGGCAGCGGCGAGTTTTCAAATCCTGTGAGTATAACCTGTATTTTGACCATTGACAAAGTTAAACTATCATAGTCAAGACCACAGTGGCCTTAAGCGGCCAGTCAGAATTTAGATGTAAGATAGTTGCATAATCGTTGAAAACTAAATGAAATGATATTGCACTGTATAGTTGTAGCTTATGTGTTGTAAGAGTATTTCGCAGTCAAATGATCTAAGGAGAAATCGTACCATGAGCGATATACCCATTCATCCAAGTGACTGTAGGTCATGGTACTTTTAGATGTACCGCTATTTCCGACACTATTCTCCAACCTACTCCTAACTCCCAGCTAGCATTATTTTCGGGCGCATTGCAGACTTTTTGGGGCAAAACCTTCGGGTACATCTACTTACGTGGGACAGTGTCCCAACGTCTGCCCCAAAAGTTTTGCAGTGCGCCCTAAGCCTTCCTCGGAATCTGCAATGTGCTCAAACTCTTCCCCAAAAAGTCTGCAATGCGCCCGAATTCTGCCCCAAAACGTCTGCAATACCCCAAAAAAATGCTAGCTGGGCTGTAACCACAATCGCAATTCCTGAACTTTAATTTAAACCTAACCTTAACCTTAGATCCTATGCTTGAATCTTAAACGCCATACCACTACCTAACAGTATCGATTTGCAGAGGAAGTACGTAGTAAATAAGTGGAATATTAATACAATTGTATCTATCCTCTCCAAGTTCAAAATGGCAGGTATGGTTTCAAATTCAGATTTCTTGTTTGAGGATAGAAGGCTTGGAACCTATGTTAATCCTTTTCTATTAAACCCTTCAATGAATCAGTTAAGGTTGCAGTCACCACTTCTTCTGGGAGTCGGTTCCAAGAGTTTATGACTCGGTATGAGGACCAGTACTCAACAGCAATATGATTTCTTCTTGGCTTCTGAACTCTCCTGTTATGTCCTCTAAGGTGTTCTGACCTGGTGGGAAGGAAAAGAGAAGATAGATGGCAAAGCTCAACAATAGCGTCCCATGGGATGCGAACGCACTAGTAACCTTCAGCCAACCAATCATAAATATAAGGAATTTTTGCACAAAAAATGACGTATATTCAAAAGAAAATGCACGAAAACACATTAAACAGATTATCTTTCTCTGACTTGACTCCAAAATACGTCTCAGTTATGGTGAAGAGTATCAGTTGCTAAGTTGGACTAGTTTCTGTAAATGTATTCATCGAAGTGACTGAAGATGTGCAGTTTTGTGAATCGTTCATCTCTCTTCTCTTGCTGTGTAGTCCTCTCCAAAGCCCTCGGTTTATATATATATATATATATATATTATATTATATATATATATATATATAAGTAGAGAACGGATAAAGAACTTCATCCGGAAGGAAAGCAGTCATGCTTAACAAGTTCAAACAGTATTGGTTAACTATCATCGGGAAGGGAAGAAAGAAGGGAATTGCAACACGCGTAATAGCACGCGATAAGTTTCATTGATTGTTTGTTGCTTTATTCAATTCATTGTGTGAGGGCTGAGATACTGCCCGGGCGCCAAGACCGAAGCAGGTGGTTTTATTAAGGGACCACCGCCGGAGCCTTTGACTTGTAGTCTAATTCGCAAGGCAGCGGAGCAGCGTCAGGAGCTGCATTCCCATGGTTTCCGGTGACCCATATGGGTTCATACGCCATTTGATCCGATTGGATACTGCAGCCCGTGTACCCTATGGTAACTGCTTTTAGTTTAATCGCTATCCAAACAACCTTCCTGACATGGCAGGACCTGCAGGGACAGAGTCCCAGTCAGTTTAGCATGTTGGGTCATTACGGTATTCAAGCCCGACAACCACGACAAGGTAGCAGTTATTAGCCGGGGCCCTCGGTTAAATTACTATGGTTTCAGTAAGAGGATCGACGACTTCATACAAGGAAAATGAAACAAATTGAAATAAACGACATTAACTACAAATCTATCCCTAATCGCAACCCTAACCTTAATCCTGACCCTAACCGTAAACTTAACACAAGCCGTTACCTTAATCCTAACCCTAATGACAATCCTTATCCTGCTGTAAACCTAACCCTAACCTCAATACATAGCTTAACCCTTATCCTAACCCTAATGAGATGTTAACACATTGTCCAAACAGTAATTGAAAGCATGATCTGGGTGAAACTTGCTCCTTATTTATGAATAGCGTTGATATTTCAGCTATGATAACGAAAGGTGACGTTAGCCAAAGACTAGCATGCGTTCAAGGTCATTGAAGCGTTCGTACTCCTGGGACGCTATTGTTGAACTTCGCAGGATAGGTCAGGTCCGTAGTAATTATTTAAAATCTTAAGCATTGTAATTAAGTCTCCTCTCTGCCTACGGTATGACACGGAGAAGAGATTTAAACTGTCTAGTCTTTCCTCATATAATAGATTAGTAATGTGAGGAATCTTACGTGTTTCCTTCCTTTGAACCCTTTCTAGAATGTGTGGGTCCTGTTTTAGACAAGAACTGGCTGCCTGGATACAGTTTTCCAGTCGTGACCTCACAAGAGATGTATATAAGGAGGTGATGATTGTAGTGAAGCCTCTGCGAATTGCCCATTAAGACCTGAAACTGCGTGCAGCCACCGCGCGACAGTGTGCGGTAGTTTTTAAACCGTGGCCAACGGACACCTAAATCCAAGTGAGTCTGAACTAATGGAAGTGTTATTCCCTCTAGTTCGTAGAAGCTGATGCTTGCTTGTCCCATTCGCATGGTTGCACATTTTGCTACACTGATCAGGATCATCTATTCTCTGAACCACCGTGACAATCTGTCGAGGTCTTCTTGCAACGTGAGCTTATCACTGTCGCCCTGCAGGTCTCTTCAGATTTTCAAGTCATCTGCGTATAGGAACATAGTAGAGTCGGTGAGCAGAGATAGCTCACTGATTCCGAACTATCTCGTCGGCGTACAAAACCATGAAGAATTAACTACGTTTGGGTAATTCTTTGGTCTAAAGCGAAAAGATAATAGCCTAATTATTGTGCTTTTTTGCACCGTGGTACATACTGTTGTCTAGGAAAAGGGTTTTGAGTTGATCCTTACTATCTCATTTTCTACCGACTAGTAACTCCTATCCAAGTGACTTAGTTGACAATCATTCCCAAATACTCCACTCTTACTAAGATGCGTAGAAATTACGCCCACTGTTTTTTTGTCGTTTCAGTGTTTGTTTCTCAAAATAGGCTACACAAATATGCTCACATTTGGAGTGTTCGATTTCCTGGAATTTGATTGCGAGGAACTCATACAGGAAAATTGACGACTGTATCGACAGGGTGTTGTCCAACCTCGTTTGAGAATTAGGACTAACTTAGAATGTCACCGGTAACTAGGTTGGAAGATAAGTAGCCAAGCCCATATCGCTTGGTCTGTTTTCCTAGCAAAAAGCTTTTATAACACAAATCCTAAAATTTCTTCCTAATCTGAGCAGAAGTGATCATGTTACCGTCACATCCAGAAAATATGTTTCCGAGAAGAAACCTAATGGATTGGTCAACCAATACTGCTGGAATTTTAGACAACTAATAGATGGTTCAACCATTGATAAGGGTGGAAACGTAACATCATCCGCTTACGACTTAAGCTTCGAAATTATGTCTAAACACTTCCAATGTCGAGGATTACAATGGACTACTTCGTTTTATGAATTCTATTATTTCAACATGCTTTAAGTGCTCGACGTACATAAATAAGATGACAAGTCTACTATTTTTTAAAGGAAGCAAGGCCAAAGAGAAACTGGATGTTATAAAGTTAATTTTCATCACAGTGCACACAGGCATATATAAATGAATAGTGGATTATGCGGTCAGCGCCTAAACATGAAATGCTCCGAAGTCACTGAAAACTTATTATGATGGATGTGAAAGGGCAAGAGAATAGCTTACTCTTAGAATTTTCCAGCCACAAATCCTTAATATACATTGTCATTCTATTTTGTAGATGAAATGTTGGAGTGTTACAAATCACTTGATGTACCGATTATCTCTTCAACAATGAAAGGTCCTGTAAGAACACGTGATGTCTTGGAGGTAGAAAGAATTGTGAATGAAGAGCCGGAAGTCAGGGTTTTGATGGCAGATCTTCAAGACTGGTTCAGTGTAATTGTGAAATTAGAGAATATATTGAATTGGAAAAGTATTCGATCGACTCTGCTTGTGATATTTTCAATCACCATTTTGTTTTTGCTACTGCATATATATGAACCTCCAGTTCTGCTTGTTGTGGGTTGTTCGGGACTGCTTTTCAGCTTGACAGACTACTTCGGGCCTATAGTTTTATCAAGGTAAGCTTTATTTAAAATATTTTCTCTATTCATAGGATGTTCACAAATCCCCCAAGCTACGAAGATAATTGGTGTTATTGGAACTTTTGTAGACGCCTGGTGCATATGCGTCACGTACTGATAAACTTTTGTATTTTCGTACATCGAGTTCAGTATCGAAATGCACTTCTACACTTCCTAACGAGTTCTTCTCTTCTGTGCATCGTTGGTTTTGTCGGATTGCATATTAGTGATTTACTTTTGTTTTATTTCTTGATTCTAACCTGCTTCATTGCTCCAAAGCTGCAGCCTAAAGTAATACTAAGGGTAAGACTTCCTACAATGTGCTTCTAAAACAATTTATCTATCTACTAAGATACTCAAAAACAATTAGCTGTGAAAACACCTGAGGTCCACTGAAAACGATGACGGGTTTTCAGTTGTGAAGCATAAATAAGCATCCCAAGATTACCTTATTTATGCATCATCCTCAGTTATTTTATGAAATTTGCAGGCAAAAGTAATCAACGTGCTGTTTGATGTCTTGTACATATAAACTCTCGACTAGTTTGGGGATGACGGTCACGTTTAAAGTACGCTGTAGTTAGATAAACGTGGTGACAGAACTGTTGTGTCACACTTACGATCGATGAGGAGGGTTTGTATAAGACTCAGGGACATCTGTAGGCAAGTGACTCACAGCCATTGAGAGGAAATCATCCGCTAATGATTAGATTTCACTGATACTTTATGCTCATGATTATGGGCAATAAATTCTGCTCGAAACCTAATGAGTATATAAACAACATTATATCACCGTGTTATATTAAATACAATTATTCTGTACGGAGTAGCGAACCACAGTTCTGCTCCTCATTGATGACTATTGAATGCAGTTTCAGCTAGCGGAACACCACTACTAGTCTCTCTAAAATACTGTTTGATCTCTTTGGAAAAGTGATCTCATGACATGTGCATATCAGTTCCCACTCTCCTTTGACCACAGCTCTCGTGTTCACCTCGGGTGAATTTTTATCCCAAAAGCCAATAACTTGTGAGTCACCTCTAGGACGATCCAACAACGATGGATGGATTTGTTTCTTGATTAGCACTGTCTCAAGACATGCGAGAGAGATATAATCTCACAAAATAGGACTATTTTGTAACGGGTTAGAGACACACGACACTTCCAAATACTAGTCTCCATGTCCATAAACACCAAGGTCTGATTGCACTAGCTGTTCTTCTTCAAAGAAATCTTTGTGTCACGAATTGATTTAGTAGACATAACCTTCGTCCTACAGAAGTCGATCTCTCGGATTCACTGTCTAGTTCAATCAGGTAGAAGCGATAGTGGATGAAGAAACCACTCTCACGATAGTCATGGATGCTTAAACACGTAGTGACCTCCGTTAATCAGCAGTGTCGAATCAAAAACCAGCGATAACACACCTAACTGTACTTTTACTTTAATTTTGCAGATGATCGCTTGGTGTCTTTGGTTCCCCATAGTTTTTCTTCAATCCTGCATCTCAAAGTTTCGGCCAAGAATGCCGAAATTCACTATTTGGACCAGGAATCAAACCTCACTGAGGAAGAATACATAATGAAGAATCCCTGCATAACCGAATTCACCATTTATGCTTCGTTAACTGTTATTTTAGTCAACATATCATTGCAACTACCTAGAGTTTCCGTGCGTGTTAGACACTTTTTATACCCGTCTCTTCTTTATTAATATCACGCCAGTGGCGCAATGTATTCTGTTATTTAATATAAAACCATTATGACTCATTAATCGATACTCGTTAAATACAAAAAGAATTTTTGAAGAACCAGAGGTAAACCAAAGAAATAAACTTTATTGACATCACTAACTAGTCAGTCGTATAAGTGAACAAAGAAAAGTGAATAAGGAAAATACAGTAACGCAAGAAGAATAAAAATAAAAAAACAATATTATATGTATAAACATTTCTACAAATGTATACACGAGATGACTGTTGGCCTTCGGACTAGTCTGCAAGACGTCGGATGATTCAACGCCTTCCTTGTCGGCGACGTACCGTCTGGTCAGATCGACCTAAAAAGGTTAAACATATGTTTAAGTTTATTCATAAATAACAATAAGGATACAGTTCATTTAAGCAGAGAATTTCTGCAACGTCAAGTAGGGGGTACTTTGAAGGCAGTCCACATGAATGAGACGCGTAGTAAATTACCATGGCTTAATGCGGATCGGTAGCCACTGTACATGCCTAATTCGCGTGAGTCTTTAGAAACACTAGTCGACCGTGTAGATATACTTCTGTAAAATTTATACATACATGAATTCAAACTGAAGATACTGGAGTAGTGATCAGCCTATTTATCAGAGACAGAGAGTAGAATGGCAACAAATAACATCGTTTCGACAGCAACACAAGAGCCACTAGGCTGGAATATGTGAAATACTCTAGCTTTGGACTAACAGTTGTTCCACTACCTTATAAATTTAGTAAACACTATCACTACATTCAGATGAATGTAGTTGAGTTCAGCGTGACAATTTAATCAGAATACTTGATCTAAAATTGAAACTGCACATTATTCCTCACAGCCAAAAGTGAGTTTCAACTAAATTACCTTTCTTCGCTTGAGATTTATCATTGATCAGTGCTAAATATTCATTCTCCACTACACCGCTGTCAGCATTATTTTCGACCAACTTCGAAGTTTGTTTGGTAGGTTGACGACGATTAGCCTTTGAGGTGAACCAGTGCCACGCGCCAATGAGTACTGCAATGCTGAGAGCAATCACCAGGACAACGAGGAATATTAACTGTGTGTCTACGCCCTCTTCAATCTCATAAAGCTACATGGAGTTGTTATGAATGCAAAAACACACTTACATTAATAGTCTGATTAAATAATTTATGGGCATAATAAATGTTATTGTTGTCGTGATAGTAAACAACCACAGAAAGATCGAATGATCGACCAGCTAACTCAACTGCTGGCCTGAACCTGTAAAAAAGAGAAGCCTGGATCAAGTTAAGCTAGGAGAATTCAACAAACCTCCTGACCGGGTTCAAAGTTTTATGGAGACGCTGCTTAGTAAAGTTTTGTATGTGGTAGTCATAGTACATTGGATAGTGAAGAGCACCTTCGATGAAATCCAGTGTGAAATGTTGTTGGCTGTTAGCAGGATTAGTATAGGCTAGAGACGCTACGATGGATGAAACTTTCCCAACAGGTAGGTTTATTTCGCGCCGTCCAGAGTAGAGACCGTAGGAAGGTTTACTGAAAGCTACCAAAGCATTGATTGCAGGAGATCCCTTGTATGCATCATTTTCACTTCCTACAGCCGCCAAGGGTAGCGTGGAGTCCTCTTCCGACGAAACGGTTGCATCATCAGCCAAGGATCTAGGTACTAATGATAACAAATGAACATTATCAATAGATGAGGTCGAAAAATAAAAATCACGAAAGAAATACATTAGTTAACTATAGGATAGTAAGTGTGACGCGTTTTTAGTGCAAGAAATTAAACAAGTTTGAAGTTACTCATGCAAAAGGATGACTGACTCACTTGTCTTTTGGACTCCTTAAACACACACAAACACTTCCTTCTTAGGAGGTTATTATACACTCAACTCATCTATTTCGGACACCGTTTTACTCAGATCAGAGATAAGTTTGAATGTTACAGAGGAACTGACTGATTTGTCAGCGTAAAACTTTGCACACAAGTACAGCAATTAGATTCATTACATTTCAGAAGAGCGAACATAAGCGTAGGGGAATAAATGCAGTGAATGTTTAATTTCATACAGTAAGCTGAGGATTCAGTGTGTGAAGGAGAAAATAAAGACATTTGTCTTCGCGATTGAGAACTATTTCAAGCCATATCACCAAGAGTCCATATCTGTTGATGGGCAGCAATCGGATAGTTCACACCTACATTCAAACCAACGGTCAGAGATTTCATAGATGAGTCTGACCACCGCTAACTCTTTTCTAACCTTATCCTGAACAATATTGGGACTGGTTGCCGACAGTGGACGCTTAGACTACACATCAACATATGGAGTTCTCTAGATTTGAAGATGTACACTCTAAATCAATTGGTATGAAGTCAAACTCTAAGTTGTCGAAGTTCATCTAGGTCACATTTACCATTACATTTGTCACGATGTTAAATAAAAACTGAAATTCAGCATCGCTGATGAACACCACCAGTTGCCATTTGAGATGGCAAATCTTTGTAAGGTTTCTCACGGCTACATGAGTTCGAGTATAGTACATAGTTTACGTCAGTCGTTTCCACAACACTCCTCGACTGACGAAGTGAAATGCTGTTTATGAAGTATTAGATGGTATTTATATGTTCACGAACCTTTGGAAGGTTGAAGATATGATCAATGCAGCAGTTTATCATAAAGTGAAAGGATGATAAAGTTAAGGAAGAGGTTTAGAACAGATTCAAAAAGAAGCCTAATAACGAAACAGACATAAGTCATTTCTTAATATTTTTTCCCATAAGCACATCTGTGTGCGAACTATTAGAAATGTACTAACTGCAGACACACTACAGATAAATCACATACTATTGTTGTTGGAATGAGAATCTTATCTCTTGCTTCACCAATGTATCTTGTATGAATGCTGCGCATCAATTCACTTCGTCCCAAACTAAAGCAAAGATATCTGTGAAATTAAAAGAATTCATTGGTACACAGGACTTTTCTTTGGTTGCTAACAGCCAAAAAATTACGTTATAAACTAATGTTTAAACATTCAGTCGTTAGAAACACGATAGAGATGCAATATAGATAGATTTGCCAGGCTCATTATAACAAAGGTTTTTGTATTTCCCGATGAATGAAAAACAAACAAAGCGATATTGTTTTTAGTGACGTTTCGCTATTTAATACTAATAGCTTTATCAAAGTATTATTAAACCGGAATTTACAAAATCTCACCATATATACAACGGAGAGTTAGAGATAAATAACAAAGGTAACAAAATGTCTGTTATGATATCAAAACAAAGTTTAATAACTTGATCATCGTTCGTCAGTACGGGGTCATTTTCCGTTGTCATATATGTATATATATACATATGCTGAGATTTTGTAAATTCCGATATAATAATACTTTGATAGAGCTATTAGCATTAAATAGCGAAACGTCAGTAAAAACAATAACGTTTTGTTTTTTATTCATTGGGAAATACAAAACCTCTATTATGATGAATATCACACCCCATGCCCAAATTTGTTCAAACTGTTGAAAATGAACTTGGTTTGGACATATGTAGACCTGTCAGACATTCAAAGCAATCGGGATACCCAGAATACTTGTTTACTTCGTCTTATTGTTGCTATTACTATCAAGTGATTGCAACTTCAAAAGTGCACACAAAGTGCGCTTAACATTGCCTTTCACTGGTGATGAGCTTTGTGTTCGGCTACGCCACAGTCGTTACCTGACTTGCCTGAACCCATCAAAGTGGATTTAAGTCTGCCCAAACTTCTTTACGCGACACTACTTTTATTCACCATATTTTCACTTTGGAACACTAAGTACAAATTAACTGATTGTCGGATTACTTTATTGGTGGCTTTCTTGTCTCCACACCCTCTGCTTTATAGATGTGCTAAGACCTGAGAAATATCCTTCAAATTAAAGTAACTAAAAAATATGTAACATAGTAACAATTATAACATTGCGATTTATGTGTTGTTCCTATCTAAAGATAAGCTGTACGATTAAATCATCCTTTTAATCCCGTAAATTTCTTTGTTTTCACTTTATTTAAACTAACAAAGTATTCATAAAAAAAGAGGTGATCAAATCAAAAACGTGAAACTAATGCATGTAGCCGAGAGGAGGTATTTGAATGCAGACTGTTGAAAATTATCAAACTTACGGACATCGTCACCATACGAATTCTCATTGTACCCATGTTTCTACATACAAAAGCAACATGGGCTGGTGCATCTGTATCGTTAATTTAATATAACAAATTTCTGACAGAATACTTTATCAAGTTGATGCTGGCTAAAATTTTGATTCAGCAGAGATCAGAATAGTTCATTTTATACACATGTGAACAATAGGTAAATTATGTGCATAACGGTAAAACACGTAGCTAGCGGCTATAAACCTGCAGACATTATTCACATGATTAGGTACATTGCATCCAGGTAACTAATTCGTTCACATGTTTCACGTCCGTATATCGTGTAACAATCAAAGTGGAAGGTTTCCTAAGAGCGGCTACCTGGAATGAGTTATTTAGCCTGCTATGATATGCATTTCCAACGTCAAAAATAACTACTAACCTATCATAAAGATACTAAAAAAACTTCAGGTATGACAGAAATAATGCTGACTGAAAGATTGTGTTTTCATTCCTAGCTTGAAAGAAGCATATCTATTTACAGCGAATACATTAAACTTTATTCGCATGTTAGCTTCACTATTTAGCGAAAACTAGGGACTTACCAAGAGCGCTGATGAAAACCAACAGGACACCTAGGGAGTACATCATGTTATAACGTCACTAGTTTGTGACGCGCAAAAACTCATTGATAAATTAAAACAAAACAAAAAAATCTATACCTACATAAAAGTGATATAATTTAAGTAATTTTTATCTGTATTTTCTTATGAGATCGCATTAGTTCAGCTGATATTTTTGGCGCTCAACACAAAAGTGCATTAATTGAGGATGTCGTACGCATATCTCTTCAAGTACATTATCATAGGTGATACAGGTAAGTAACAACGTTTAAAGCACCTCGAAATGAAATAATTGTTATTGAAAAAGCTTTTATTTCATGTTCAACTGAAATTTATCCACTGCAAGTGTGACACTTCTCCATGTTTATGTAGATTTCACCGTTATTCCTGAGTTAAGTCCTTTCATAGTTAGACTGTGAATGAATCTCCACCAACTAAGAATTTGCGTTGCTTCCATTCTTAGACTAAAGAGGTAAATGAAGCCATGAATTGACAGAGTTTTAGGACTTAGGACATGTAACATTATATGAAAGTAACAAGGTTTTTACCATTGCATTACCTCCACTTTCAAACCTAAAGTTTGTCTGGCTTCCAAGCTGGCAGTCATTACATTGTTTGTTTCGAAATGTTGAAGAAACGGAATCCCAATCTGATTCATAAATTTTTATTATTGAGTCCACTGAACATGGGATATTCGTGTCCTTAATGACACCCTTTATAATATATATTTTACTATGTTGTTCATAATGAATAGAACACGTGACTGCGTACTTATTATTCAAACTTCACATATCTCTCGGAGAACCACAATGATATTCGGACAAATCAGTATGCCACAAAGTATTTATGGTATTTTCGAATTGTCGAGTCCACTGAAAAATATGGAAATCTGTTCATTTTTTAAGGAGTTCCACCTTTGAATGCTGTAGTGAATTCTCTCCTGAAGAAAGATTTCCATTGGTAGTTCACATAAGCTGTGTCTTTTTCTGAAGTTAACGGTAACTTGATTGTCCTACCTTTGTCAATTTAATGGGTTGGCTGCAATAACAACCATTGTATTATGCACTATTTATCGATGTATGATGAAGTAAATCTACTCTATGAAAAACTTTCGAATAGGAATGGTAGTGTCGTTAATAAATTTTCTTGATTACAGAATAGTACTAAATTACGTAAAGTTAGTTTGAGATGAGACTAACTCGGTACTAATTATTGGTGATATTAAATGTATTAATAGGGTTTCATTGATTCAAACTATATTTTCAACATTGTACTTTTCGCAGAAGTCTAGCAGCTGAATTCAATACTTCAGAAAAGGATTCCAAAGTAAAAGATGTGTACGAGAGCAAAAATGAATATTTTTAAGGTCTTAAGGACGATTCGGACTCAATCCTTCTGCGTGGTTGTCAACGACTTTGAGAAATGTCAGAAAAAGTCATTAACCACTGATTCTTAGCTATGACTAAATGGTCTCTATTCCCCTTCGTGGCTAAGGCTCAGCCGATGATTTAACTGGTTATGGCTGTTTTAGTCTCCTAACTACTCACCTTTTCCTAAACATATTCTCAATATGATGATACCACACATCGAAAAAGACAACTTTGTCTTAGTTTGATAATTTCTTGTTACATTAGTCAACTAAGCTTCTCAAACTCATCCGTGGACGTTCCTTCTTTGCCTAATACTCTGTTTCCTTCATTATTAGTAATTGTGTTGTGAAACAAAGTGGCCAGACGACTATAGGTACGAGTGCTTAACAATCTCTAATCTTTTCAACAATATAAACGTAGATCTTCCCGAAATCCATCAGTCATAATTCGTAGCTTATGACTCAGTATGCACGTCTCATCCCAGAAATTCACTTTGTAACTTGAAGAGGCTGAAGTACTCAAATCATATAACTATATGTGAAACAAAAGCGTTGAGAAAATTTGTGGTATTGTGAACCCTTTGATCAATCATGTTTGACGTATCCTTCATATCTATCAAATGCCAGGTGGTGCAATGGGACTGATCTGTATCAGAATTGAGCCTTAATCAGTTTTAGTAGCAACTCTTAGCTCTCACGTAGTCGTTTAAACTCGAACAACATAGTACCAGTGGAACATCATGTTCATCTCAAGCACAACTACCGTGTAGTTGAATCCTATCCAACGTCATACTGTCTGTAACTTGTGTTTCCTTTTATTTAATAGAAACAGTTTGTTGTGTGACTGTTAGGAATTCTATGTTAAAGAGATTCCCCAGAAAGATGTCAGTATTTTAAAAGCCCCTATACAAATAATCTCAAGTTGGTCATGGATATACAGTCAGTTATCACCGTGGCTCCAGCGTGAGTCAAGTTTTTAAATTTGTATTTGCACTTCTCTCTTAGGAGCATTTCATAGACCTCTGAAGGAATTATGGTAATATAAATCATTTCCCCGACCAGATACGTTTGCTTCCGAGTATGCAGACTATGTTTTCTAACTGCAATAATATATAGACATTTAATCAAGTAGTGGTTTGTTTGCATATATAATTAGCGACTATTGGTGGTATGACTCAAAATTTTTCTCAGTGGTTCAGATGTATTCACTCTTCGTAATTTGCTAGATCTACTCAGTCGTCATTATTCTCCACATAATTCTTTCTCCTACCTTTCCATTCATTATAGTCCCTTCAAATTTATTTTTTTGTCTTTGCCCTTTGTGTGGTATATGTGGTGTCTGTCTGTCTGTCTGGATTCAACATAGAACTTGGCACCGAAGTGCAGCAGTTCGAGTTGCCACGTTCCAAATAGCACACAGAGGTAGACAAGAAGATGAGTGAAGAGAATCAATAGAGTTTGACAAGTATAAGAGTGAAACAGAATGGGTAATGGTAGAAAGGAATATGAAAGATTACAGAGACTGAATACATCTGCGCCATTGACAACGATTTTGAGCCATGTCACCTATTGTCTCCAGCCATTGATTCCTAGAGTCCCGAGGGCCCCAACCCGGGAGTCTGCATCTCCCTACCTGACTCAGTTTAACTGTCAAGGATTTCATGGATTGATGAGGCCATGTTTTTGTTTGGCCACCACTGGCTCTTTTCCAACCTGCACCTATATCAGCTAGCAATGCCCGTCGGGGGAGGCGGTGGTTAGGCATGCGCAGCACGTGACCTAGCCATCTTAGTCTATGTAACTTTATAGCCTCGTCGATTGATTTTCCCTCTTTGCCCAACACTCTACGCCTAACGTCAACATTACTTACCTTATTAAACCACCTAACGTGAGACAGAGATCGCAGACATCTATGATCGAAAGCAGTCAACCTTTTCATGTCTTCAACGCGTATTGGCCATGTTTCAGAGCCATAGAGAAGGACGGAGCGAACTGATGAGCAGTACACACGTCCCTTGGTTGATAACCGGATGTCACGCCTACGCCAGAGATGGTGTAAGTCAGCGAAAGCAGCTCGAGCTTTTCGGATCCGTGCTGAGATTTCATCGCCAATCAGTCCGTTGGTGCTAATACAACTTCCCAAATAGGTGAAGTGGTCAACATGTTCTATCACTTCACTCCCTATCACTAAGTTAGGAGTTGACGTGGTCCAGTCCTGTAGCAGCATCTTACATTTTGTAGGGGCGAATCGCATGCCAAACATACGAAGATTGCTGCTCAAGGTGTTCAGAAGACTCTGCATTTTGTCAGCATCCTCCCCTAACAGGACTATGTCATCTGCATATTCTAAGTCCATAAGACTATTCCCTGGTAACAAGTCGATTCCTAAGTCATTACGTTCAGTTAAGGATACTTCCATCAGCATATCTATGATGAAGTTAAACAGAAATGGGGAAAGTGGACATCCCTGTCGGACACCACTGGTTGTTACCAATTCAGATGACAATTCCCCATAAGCCCTTACACGACTACGTGAGTTTGAATAGAGTGCCTTGATTAGTGCAATGTACTTTCTTGGCACTCCCTTCACAGTCAGACATTGCCATAGTACCTTTCGATCCACGGAGTCGAAGGCCGCCTTCAAGTCAAGAAATATGACAATTGTTGGACGCCGAAAAGTGTGTCTATGTTCTAGAATCTGTCGAAGAGTGAAGATATGATCTATGCACCCTCTACCTGGTCTAAAGCCTGCTTGATTTTCCCTTGTCTGTTCCTCCCGAGTTCTGCTTAGTCTATGCATGATTACTGAGCCTAGGATTTTAGAGACTATGTTCGTTAGGCTGATCCCCCTATGATTATCACACGAGGACTTGTTTCCCTTCTTGAATATCGGTATAATAAGTGACTTACCCCAGTCTGATGGCACTGTCTCTGATTCCCAGACTTTGCCTAGTACCTCAGTTAATCTACAAACTAGTATGTCACCCCCATATTTAAACACCTCCGGAATAATTCCGTCGGGTCCTGCCGCTTTGCCTCGTTTCAAATTACTGATAGCTTTTGTAACCTCACTTACAGACGGCGGACCAGTGTCTATATCCCATTCGGGTGTGTGCTGGATGTCGGGGAGGTTCAGTGTGGCTGTAGGCAAGTTAAATTGTCCCTCAAAGTGTTCTTTCCAGCGTTCAAGGCGTCTATCCTGAGAGCTAATTAAGGAGCCATTTTTCTCAGAAATAGTCTCACTTATGATTTGCCTTCTCCCACCCGTTTCCCTGATGAGTCTAAAGAGTTGCCTAGTGTTGCCTATCGCCGATGCTTTTTCCATCTCTTTTGCCTTTGTCAGCCACCACTGTTCACGGTCCTGTGGTGTAGCAACTGGAACCGCTGCACTTTTCTCCGTTAAGTCATACTTTGAGAACCCAATCTACTTATAGGTATTACATGCTGTCATGCCATTCTAATCAGAGGCACTTTTGCAAGATCGACAACTGGTTGTCCCACTCATCCTTGTAGATAGACCGTTAGAAGTAGTGTGTTGATGAAAGTGTAACATAAGAACCTGACGTCATCTATCAAAAATCAAAACGCAAAATCAGCATTGGCCTCATCTGGCATCTGGATGTTTATTTGGTTGTCAGACTTTCGATGTACAGTTCTATCTTGCTGTAGGCTTTCGATATAGCCCATTAATTCTCGAATTCGGATCCCACTTACCTACTTTAGTGTAGGCAGTTGGGTACTATCACCAGCCTTCACACAATAGTCATGGCTTATGACTCAGGTAACTGAGTAATAAATAATCGAGTGGATAGGTACGATACAGTTTGAACAAATGTTAGGTGCTTAAACCAATGAGTCGTGACTTCACTTGGAATCTAAGATGATAAGGTGGTCAAACTGAAACCTTATATATTAGGAAACGTACTGTTCCGCGACATTCATCTGATGCAGGATCTTAATTAAGTATATTAAACATTGTAATAACAAATTGCATCCTACCTACCAAAAAAGTTATTCTTGTACTCTGTCGGGTAACCATAAGAAACGGAGTGACTGACGAGATCATTCAGATGTTGAAAAGCATTAAAATTAGAATTTGTAAAAAAATTCTGTTAAGATTAAATGTATCTGCACCATTGAACACCACTATGGCCTTTATGCTCAAAATTAGACGTTTAAATTAATTGAATTCTCACAATTTTCAGGAAAATTAGAAAGTCAGGAGAAAGCGTAAGAGAGTGAAAGCGAGGTTCATCAATGCTATAGATGCATCCCATCGAAAAGATTAAGCTCTGTATGTCAAATTTTATAAAGTTGTTAAGTGAAATATAGTCAAATGTGATCAAAGAATGACAATGCATAACTTTTACAGTGACCGTAATGATCGAAAATCAAAGGGAAAAGGAGAATGGTGCTCGTGACATGAGTTTCACAGGCCTAGCCATTGCCTTCCTTGATGGTCAATGTTAGCTGACGTAGGGTCAGGCTGGAAAAGAGGCAGTGGTGGTCAAACTAAAACATAGCTTCAACAGTCAATGAAATCCACAACATTTAGGTTAAGATAACCACGTAGGGAGGTGTAGACTGCGTGACTGGTTGAGGTCCTCGAGACGGTAAAAACCAGTAGCTGAAGACAATCGGTGATATGGCTCGAAATCGTCGTTGTCAATGGCGCAGATGCATCCACTCATTATAACTTATAATATTCCACAAAACTATGTGGTTCTTAGATATTACTATTCTTTTTGTCTCATATCTCTGTTTACTGTCTCTATTATGCATTTCTTGTACTTTCTTCTCTTGCTTTGTGTGCTACATGTAGTGTGGCGACTTGAACTGCTGCACATCGGTGCAAAGTTCTATGTTGAAACCAGTCAGTCAAAGCCAAAGGGAATAATTAAATAGGAAATAATGAACGTTAAATAGATTTGGGTGACTACAAAGTGTGAATGCATCTGCACCACTTAGAACAACCGCTTATGTCATCAGTCTCAAACCATTGATTCTTAACGTCTTGAGGACCCAGCCAAAATAGTTTACACCTCCTTACGTGTCTGGCTCAAACCAACGGTCAAAGACTTCATAGACCAATGACAGGTTCTGGTTTAACCATCCCTAACTCTTACCTAACCTAAATCTGTCACAACATAACATTTGAAGTAATATTATAGGCGATAAATTGTGATCGAAGCGTTATCAGTAAATGATACTGTATATCACTGTAATTTAATCAAATAAATTTAATCTATAATGGAATTATACTCTGCTATAGTGCCTAGGCTCTATTCTTATAACAGTCGCTCGACGAGGAAGGCAGTGGCATGTCTTAATCATCTCTATCGATGCAGATTCACAACCTCATTGATTGACTTCCCCTCCTTACCTAAAGCTCTTAGCATAACCTCAGCATTACTCAGCATATTATATCCCTTTATACGAGAGATGGAACACAGACACCTATTGTCGGAGCAGATAACCTCATCATATCTGCTACTTTCAGTAGTCACATCTCACAGAGAGGAAGAAAGAGGACTTCTGTGCAGTGCAATTGTCCTTTGGTTGATAGCCGGATATGACGTCTGCCACAGATGCCTTTTACATCCGCGAGGTGATCCCATCAGCAAACAGTTGATTAAAACTGATGTAACTTCCAAAATAAATGAAGTGATCATCAAAACCGGCCACTCCACTTCCTATCCTAAAACTAGGTGTCTGTACCTGATCAGTCCTATATCATCATCCTAAATCTGATAGGGGCGAATATGACGCCAAACACACTAAGATGTTAGCTCAAGGTTTTCAGTAGATTCTGCATTTTATCAGCGTCTTCACGTTAGTGGGACTTAATCATTTGTGTACTCGAGTTCAATGAAACATCCTGGTAAAAATTCAGACCCTTACAAGGTTTCAAAATAGAACTTTGCACCGATGTACACCAGTACAAGTCACCACACTACATGTAGCACACAGAGCAAAAGAAGAAAGTAAGAAGGAATGCAAAATCGAGACAGTAAACAGAGATTGGAGACGAAAAGAATAGTAATATCTAAGAACCACAGTTTTATTGGATATTATAAGTAACATTGAGTAGATGCATCTGCGCCATTGACAACGACGATTTTAAGCCATATCACTTTACAAAGAGCCTGGCACATGGAAAATCAGTTTCAAGTAACTGAGTTCTAACATGCCGATAAATTCCTAGATAAATTATCTGGGATTGTATGTATTAAAAATAGGTGATCGAATTGTTAAGTTTCTTCTAAGCCGTTCATGCATTACCTTTTCGTTTGAAAGGTTTTCAGCCAAGATAAAAAAATAATGGTTAAGTTTTAGGTAGAAAAATCTATGCCTGTAGCAAATCATTGAATTTGACGGACACTTTTTTACTGTGTATTTTCAAAGTCTGTTATTCTAAATGAGTCTATTCTATTTCAAATGGTCTTTCATATTCGTTGACTGTAAACAATTCCTATCCTCACATCGTAGACCAAATACTACACGACAGATTGTGAGAGTGGTTGCAATTAATCTCATAAAACCTTGTTTAAGCAGTGGTGACGAAAGGCATATTTGTATTCTTTTCTATCCCCTGTTTCATTATCGAGTGTATAGTTATAAAGTTATAATAATTGTCTTTTTATTTATCTTAACTTCTCTGTAGTAGTAAATGTTTTGTTTAGGACTATTTAGTCACACCACATTTTCCCTTCGCTCACATGTGATTTTACTTCAATCCTACCACTTGCTATATAATTATGTATCCACATTTTACCTAACATACTGTCCCACCTGTCATTTACATCTGCATTATTTGAAAATACCCAGGTATTTTGAGTAGTTTTCATCTGTTTGATGATATACATTGTAACAAACTACTGCACTAACTCTACAAAGCAAATAACATTTAAAAGTTCAGTTTGATGATACTAATTGCTTGTTCAATCGTCTATTTTTTCATTAGCTGTCTTTGATCATAGGTGCCTGCTCTCTGTCTTCTGTGTGAAGTGGTATAATAAGGGGATGGGGGAGGGGAAATCAATCGACGAGGCTGTGAAGCTACATCGACTGAGATGGTTAAGACTTGTGTTACGTATGCCTAGTCATCGCCTTCCTCGACGGTCAATGTTAGCTGACATAGGGTCAGGCGGTCAAACCAAAACATGGCACCAATCAATAAAATCTACAACAGTTAGTTCAAGCCATGTAGGAAGGTGTAGACTTCGTGACTGGTTGGGGTCCTCGGTACGGTAAAAACCAATGGTTGGAAACAATTGGTGATATGGTTCAAAATCGTTCTCGGTGATGGTTGGCGTAGATGCATCCACTCATCGTGACTTATAATTCCCAATAAAACCACATTGTTCTTAGTTATTACTATTCCTTTGTCTCACGCCTCTGTTTACTGTCTCTATGATGCATTTCTTCTACTTTCTTCTTTTTGTGTGGTATATAGAGTGTGGCGACTTGAACTTCCGCACATATGTGCAAAATTCTATGTCGAAAACAGACACAGACTATTTTTTCATAATGTTCACCAAATTGTGTTCAAAGTTTACTCATTCCCACTCAATATTAAGTTTATATTTATAGGTTGTAACCATCATCAGTGTATGCACAGAACAGTTTTTTTGTGTGGAATTATATATGTGTTAAACCATCCAATGACTCACTGGTTCGAATCTCACTCCATCTACTTCAGCTTGGTCAACTGGGTAATTTCATCAGCCTTCACACAATAGGTATAGCTGACAGCCTGGTATCGGTTAACTGACTTCTAACTAACCAATCTATGTTAATCCTCGCGGCATGTATTCCTCTAGTGATATAATTTCTCTTTGGCATATAATTGCAGAAATTCGTTTTGTCACACTCTTCATAAGGCACACATTAAGTTAGGAAAAGACAAAAGAGAAATTCGAAGGAACTGCAACTGATAATTGTCAAGATAAGTTAAAAAAGAATTAAATTTTCCAGTCTTACCAGTTTATGACTTACCCTTCGTATTTGTTCAAGTTTCTTTCTTAAAAAGCAATAGGCTATATCGATAGAATATTCAAAGTGAAATTTCACTCGTCTTAATTTTAACATTCACATAAATCATTATGCCAGCTATTTTTTTCTCTCAATTGGATTGTTTGCATATGATCAGTTTCCTATTTAAACTTATTCAGTGAACTTGCTAAAATGGTCTTAAACTAAGTTCCTTTAAATAGTGCTTCGCAACACTCCATAACTGCAAAGCTTTAAAGCTACGAAAAGAATATTCTTTGTTGACTTATTTCTTTTTGATTTATGTCACTTGGATATTTTTCCTGCTTTAAAAATGTCAGTCTGTTATTTTCAGTTTCAAGCATGAGAAAATTTTAAGTGGCAATACTCTAGTTCCGTGAATTTTATAATACTAGTCGTACAGAACAAATTGATTAGTGCCTATGGTGAAATAAGTTTTTCTGATTTTTTTTATCGGTCATTTAGTATCTTCCTGACTTCCAGAAAATTCCCACTCGGCCTATTGCGACAGAAGGTAATCATCTCAGTCGTGTGTTGCGACTAAACACACTAAAAGTTATATAGTGTATCAAAGATATCTTCCATTATCCTTATCTTTTTATTTTATGAAACAATTAAACTAATTGTTTTTGTAGTGGGTGTGTTGAAGAAAGTTTAACTTGAAAAAATAGAGATCGCTGTCATACTTATGTAACATTTTTTTTATACTTGGTTTATTTGTTTGGTGTATCAAACAGTTTCGTAGTATTATTGTCTTTGACTATTTCACAATTCTAGGAGTTGGAAAATCATGTTTACTGCTGCAGTTTACCGACAAACGATTCCAACCGGTTCATGATTTAACCATCGGTGTTGAATTCGGTGCTCGAATGATCAATATTGATGGGAAACAGATCAAATTGCAAATATGGGATACGGTTAGTAGTACTTTTTTTAGTCACTTATAACCTCCTTTCAAGGCTGGACAAGAGTCATTCCGATCTATCACTCGATCTTATTATCGTGGTGCAGCTGGTGCTCTACTGGTATACGATATCACCAGGTAACTGTTATTCAATGTGTATCTTTTATTTCTTAGGAGAGAGACATTTACGCATTTAACTACGTGGCTTGAGGATGCTAGACAACACTCTAGCTCCAATATGGTTATTATGCTGATAGGAAATAAAAGTGATCTGGAAAGTCGACGGGATGTTAAGAAAGAAGAAGGCGAAGCATTCGCCAGGGAACATGGTCTGATTTTCATGGAAACATCAGCTAAAACTGCTGCTAATGTCGAAGAAGCTTTTATTGATACAGCTAAATGTATACATGAAAAAATCCAAGAAGGTGTTCTGGATGTTAATAATGAGGTAAACTTAGCTTTGTGTTGATTACTTTTTCTTTGTTTTTTTTTAACCCGTTATTATTGTTTATACAATTACTACTTTTTTTACTGTATAAATGTACAGTTTATTACAATTTTACTGAACTTCATAGTATTTCTGTTTAACTGGTTTGTTTACCCCACGGTACGATAAGGTATATTATGATATTTATATCAACTCTTTCAAGTTAATTGTCGTTAAAATCTCAGCAAGATGAAAATATTTTGTTCGCAATTCTTAGTTCTGCCATGGTATTTACATAGCTAAACTCATAGATAGTTGCTGTATAACGTAACTATCTGCTTCAGTTAGTACCTAATGGTATTCTCTCGACCCTCATACAAACAGTAACAAAACACAATGAAATAGTATTATTTATTAGATGACATATTGAACACAATTTATTATTCATAATCATATCGATTTTAACTTCTAAACTTCGGAAATCGATTTTATTAGTACACATTATTCTCCCATATCTGTTGTAAGGATAGTAAAATTTTTCAGTTATACGGGCAGGTGTCTGAGTATTAGCTAAATATTTGTCAAACAACTGTCGTCTAAGAAAAGACAAGTAAATGACTAGCAATTTAACTATGCTTGCGTCGATTGTTCAGTGGTAGGGTGCTCACTAGCCATAAACGCGCATCAGGTTGAATTCCTAGTCGATAATACTCCCCAGGTAAGGGACGCAGGTTGTGCATGAATCTGACAACGTCACCACCATCTTTAATAAAACTTCCAAAACTTAGAACCCTATATTCAGCTTGAGACTCAATGCAAGAAAAAGTTACCCATAATTATAGTGGTTGACAGATTCACTGAAGAATTTTAGAAAAGAAAAGCACCTGCATTTAAAGCTAAAGCTTCTTGTGATAGGTCAGCTTATTGAAAGATAGAGCCCGTGATTCAGATACTACTGTACAAAAGTTGCAACGAAGATTTTATTTTCATTCCAGGTACTTACTGCATACAATAGTCGATACTTACGGAGAACCTGTTCCTTTGTCTATTATTTACTAATGCTGATCATGCTTTTCTGTGTATTTTTGTTTTCCATATAAGGCCAATGGTATTAAGCTTGGACCTCATCATAACCCGGTTGGCGGTGCGTATAACAATACCATGACAAATCGTGCTTCTGGTTCCGGCTGCTGTTAACTACTCCATCTCACTGTCATACATCTTTAACTATTTTTGTGTATTTCAATTGTTTTGAGAAAGTAAACAAAAACAGGAATTGTTGTGGTCTGGAGAAAAAAAAATTAATGAAAACAATAAAATTTTCTGTTCTCGTTTTTCCCCTCCATAAGTTTCGGGTATTCCCAATGATATATATATCCATGTGATAAGTGCAACCTGATAAGTACTAATTTGTCCTGCTTCTACTCTCTCTTCTTTTTCTTTAGTGTTCCGATCTGTTGTGTGTAATCTTCTTCTTATATACAGACAAACACCAATCCTTCTTATATCATTTGACAGTTTGTCTCCACCTGTGTTGTAACACTTCTGTTGCAGACTTCTACCTATTCAACTGTACATGAATACTAATCTGTTCAGTATTCATTGTGTGAGAATCAATTATAACATATGTATTAATGTTTTGTTCGGATTGAAAATCTTTTCTCCCACTTTCTTTTTACTTCACTTCCACTCTTTCTGTCCACTTGAAAATATTTAATTAGTGGGATGAAATGCTATAATAATAACTATTTGCTACTTCCGATTACATCACAGACAAATTTCACTCTTTTTTTCATTGTATTCTCCGTATATACGATCTCTTTTTAAAATATTGAACATTTATGCACCGGAAATCAAAGTCTTTTTTTTAAAAAAAAAGAAATTTACCATTTTACCGATCAACTATTATCCCTAAAAAAGTATCAATGTGATGATAATTAGGTTTCGTAAGTTCGTATTCGCCAAAAAAAAATGAAACAAGAGCTTACTGTTCTTTCCCACTACTACTGGTGTATTTGTCCGTTTTCTCGTGTTGTTATATGTCTTTGTTCATTCTGCATAACATTTCTGTTCTCTTTTTTTTTCTCCCACTTTCTTTTTCTCATTATTAAACAGTATTGTTTAATATAACCAATTAAACAACTGATTTCTACACATGATATCCTTCATCTGTGTGGGGGAGATTGTGCTTTTGTCTTTCTTTACTGTTGTGTACATCTGACCATCATTTCTCACTTTCAAATTCATGTTATTTGGTTAGTTGTCTTTCGTTTTGACTAATTTTGGGATAATGGGCGGGTCTGCGGTTCATTGTTTCATGTGTAGATATCTTCCAATCAGTGGTATCCTGCTTAATCTACTCAGATTTGAGCAACAGTCAGTTTTACTTCTGTACAAATTCACATGAAGTTATTGAGTTGTTTTATTTGTGATTGGTATGAAAGGCACTATCGGTTATAGTCTAGGAGTTTCTTATGTAGCAGAAATGAATGATTAGGTGCATTAGGCTTTCGAAACAACTGGATTTCCTTTCTGTTATGATCTGTACACCACAGTCTGGCTTACAACTCAGTGCATAAAAATAACCTTTACTGCACGACTAAAATCCGTTAGAAACACAATCGTCAAGGGATATTTAGAAACCGTCTTTTCAGTTAACTGGTATTAAGGATGGGAATGATCCTTATTACAGAGATCAACTGGTCACACACATTACTACGGTTTTATTAAAAGTTTTGCAATTTTTAGACAATTTGTATTGAAAATTAAATATGCTGCACGCTTGTTTAAAAAAGTTTCTCTATTAGTATAGTCAAGCATAATCATCTTTATTAATTATTCTTGTGGAGGAAGCATTCGACTTCACGAAGAAAGTATATCACACTAATCAAAGTACTCTGCTCTGTAAGAGCTTACCGTGAGTTGTCAAGTGAAGTGAAGGCAGCCACTGGTGTTTGGTCAGTATCTTAATGATGTAATCATGGAGGCAACATTCGCTGAATTCGACCATGAAGTATGAAGATAATATTCTTCTAAGTGAAGATTCTGGCTAAATCCAGTCTTCTGAACACCTTGAGCCAAAACCTTGGCATATATGCCATGCGATCCTCCCCTGTTAGATGTAAGATGATGCTGCAGGACTAGTCTGCCAGGCGCCCAGTTTAAAGGTATGTATTGAAGTGATAGAGTGTGGTGACCATTTCATCAATTTGGGAAGTTGCATCAGCCCTAGTGAACTACTTGCTGACGGGTTCTCAGCACGGATACACAAGGCTGGTGTGCTACTTGGCAACTTACGCCATCATTGTCTCAGATGCGATATCCAACCATCCAGTAAAGGGCATGTGTGTTCTGCAGAGTCTTGCTGCGTCTACATAGGGAGGTTTAGACTACCTGGTTAACATGGTAAGCCTTCATGAGCATCATTCTGCTTCACCCACATCACCTTCATCTTACTTCCCTACTACAGTCAGTCAGTTAATATTACTGTACAATACTCTGTGATTTATCAAAATAAAATCTTATCCATAATGGGGTTATACTCTACCACAGTGCCCAAGTTTTATGCTTATATCAATAATACAGTTAGTACTATTCTTCAAGCTAGTGAGTGATATTCACTCTTTGACCAAAAACAACGATGAGAGCCATAGAAACAGCCTCTTAAAGCCACGTCACTAACTTCATATAGGAGTATTTAACATCAGGACCCTAAAGGGAATCGAACAACAGGCCTCACCCGCAAGAACTCTGGCATCTCCAGCCATGGAGGTATGTTGTGTTTCTGAGACACGCATACAAGACCCGAGTGTGGTGATTCACCTAACCTCATTCGGCCAACAAGGTGAATCTGTAAAATTCATTTGAAGGGTGTCAGGAGACCCCTCAGCTAGTTCGCAGGTGTAAGGATAGCCTTGAGTGTTAGGGCAGAAAACTCACTTCTTGACTGGATCCCAGTACATAGTCGTATGTGTGCGGTCCGTCTGAAAAGCTCCGTTAGAAGAAGGAAGGACGGCGTTACCCGTTGTCTTTTCATAGTCTCCGCTTACGCCCCAACAGACTGCAGTACGGATGAACCTAAGGATGATTTCTACCAGAATCTATCTAGTTTGCTGCAAAAAGCAAAACCATCAGATATAGTTGTTTTAACAGGCAACTTCATTACCCGAGTAGGAAAGTTGTGCCAGACTGAAAAGTATGTAGGTGACTTATATGAAGTTCCCTGCTGACGAACCGACAACGGTGGTTGTCGTTTACACTTCTGTTCAGATAATCATCTGTTCCTAGTCATCACTAACTTTAGGCACAAAGAGAGACACTGCGTAACTTGGCGAACCCCATCACCAACTCAACGCTGGACTCAGAAAGAACAAATAGTGAGTGTATCGTTGGCGAGGGTCCGTAGAAGACTGGCTCTCCTTCTGGAACACGTGTGTACACTCTGATTACGCCCTGGTTCGCTCACGTTTATGCTCACAAAAACTGTTGGCAGCGAACCAATTAAGTCCCCAACTGGATCAAGACACCGAGTCTCTATTTAAGGAAGAAATAGCGAAACGTGTATCTGAGGCAGACAGCAGGACTCCTCCTGAGGAAGCTTGGCACAACATACAGTTGGCTATAGACACAGCTGTAAAGGTTGTTAGTAACCTAAAACTTAACCTAGTAAAAGCCGGTGTATTTCTATCACCTCATCCGAATTGAGTAACTCAAGAAGAATGATTCCGGTGGGCTCTGATTATGATGAGGAGCGAAAGTTCTCAAACACAAACTAACAACAAGCCTTCGTAACGACTGTGAACAGTGGTGGGCCACAAAAGCGAAAGAGATGGAAAAGGCTTCGGCGATCGGTAACACCAGACAAATATTTAGAATTATCAGGGAAACAGGTGGTAAAAGGTAAACGATAAGTGAAGCAATCTCTGAGATGAATGACACCATAATTAGCTCTCAGGATAGACGATTGGAACTCTGGGAAGAACACTTTGAGGAGCAGTTTAATTGACCTACAGCCACACTCAACTTGCCGAACATCCAACACCTCCCTGAATGGGATATAGACACAGGTCCTCCGTCCCTAATTAAGGTTAATAAGGCTGTCGCTAGTCTGGGACAAGGCAAAGCAGCAGGACCTGATGGAATGACTCCAGAGGCGTTTAAGTACGGTGGAGACAGTTTATTGTCTGCATTAACCAATGTACTAGGTAGCATCTTGGAATCAGAGGAAGTCCATTCGGGTTGGTGTAAGTCACTGATTATCCGATATACAAGACAAGTCTTCCTGTGATAATAACAGAGGGATTAGTTTGACTAATGTGGTATTTAAAGTTCTAGGCTCAATAATCATGCGTAGACTAAGCGGTTCACGGGAGGCATAAACACGGAGAAACAGGCAGGCTTTAGACCAGGAAGATGGTGTACTGGTCATATCTTCACCCTTCGACAGATTCGAGAACATAGGCATACCTACTGGCGTCTAACAATCGTTATATTTTTTGAACTAAAGGCGGCATTCGACACTGTCGACCGAGAGGTACTATGGCGGTGCTCGGCTGTGAAGGGATTGCCGGGAAGATACATGGCACTGATCAAGGCACTCTACTAGAACACATGCAGTCAGTCAGGGGAGGGCTTACGGCGAGTTGTCATCTGAAGTGGTGACAGCCAGCGTTGTCCGACAGGGATGTCCACTATCCCCATTTCTATTCAATTTCATCATAGATGTACTAATGGACTTAACCTTAACTCATTTCAGAGACACAGAGATTGACTTGTTACCATCAGGGAATAATCTCGTTGACTTAGAATATGCAGATGATATAGTCCTCTCCGCTAGGTGAAGACGCTGACAAAATGCAGAATCTTTTGAACACCTTGAGCTGCAAATGGTTGGCATGCGATTCGCTCCTGCAAAATATAAGATGATGCTACAGAACTGAACAACAGTGACTAATTACTAGCTTAAAGACAGCTAGTGAAGTTGTGGCTGAATGTGTTGACCCGTTCACCTATTAGGGGAGTTGCATCAGCCCCAACGGGTGGCCCTCTGAAGAAATCTCAACATGGATATAGAAAGTTAGTTAAGCAGATGCCAGTTTATGCCGCCCTCGGCTTATAAGAAGTGATATACGGCTGGCTGGCGAACAAAGACCGTATGGACTCCTAACAAGTTCCGCTTATCATCCCTTATGATAGTG